AAGCTATTTGTTTTCATGGCCAGCACCTTCTTGCCAGAGTTTCTACACCGAGTGCAGGAGGGGCTGAGAGCAGCCTCACCTGAGCCTGTGAAGTTGAGGCTACAGTGAGCTGACATTATGCCACTGCAGTCCAGCGTATAGCCTGGGCAACCCTGAATTTTTGTTTGTTTGCTTGTTCGTTTTTCCCCCATTTGGGGGGGGAAAAAAAAAGCCACTAATTCCTACTATTCTTACCTGAAGTTCAGCAGTTTTGCAAGCATAAAGTTGCTCAGATTGTTAAGTCCCTTTGGTTAACTTCCAGAGTGCTGAACTGGTTGGTTTTGTCAGTTTTGTCTGGTTTTGTCAGTTTTGTCCTGTTTTATTGTTGCTTCTGCAGGAGAAGATTTCCTCGCTCTGCCTCGGCCAGAAGTTTCACCCTGTACTCACCTTGTTTTATATTCAACTTCGCTTCCTCTGCCTAACTTCAAAATTGGGAGAGTCCCAAGGCTCAGTCTCTGAACCTCTTTCCTTCTTCATCAATGCTAGGCATTTTCTTCCAACCCCACAGCGTTAAATATGATTGATACACTAATGATTCCCCATTTATGTCTCCAACTCTGATCTCCCCCTTGAACTTCAAGTGACTGACAGATCTGAATCTCCAACTCATCTCCACCTATATATCTGATAGACTACTCACACTCACATAACAAAAAGTCTTTAATTTTTCCTCCAAGGCTATCTTCCCCTAATTCTAATCTATTCACTTGTTCAAGTTCAAAACCTAGGAATTATCCTTGACTCCTTTCCTTCCTTCACTCCCACCCCCACATCCAGTCTAAGAAATCAGATGTCAAACCTACTGCCGGAACATAATTCCAAATTCATTCACTTTTCTCCGTCTCCACGGACAATCTGCCTAGTCCAAGCTTCCATCTATTCTCTGAAGACTACAGCAGCCTCTTCCTTGTTCTTTCTGCTTCCATTCTTGTCCCCATACATTCTGTTGACAACAACTGTCAGAGTAATCTTTTCAAGGGCAAACCAGATATTGTCACCTCTCATTACACTAACAATAAAATCCTTAGTTCATACTGTGGCTTATGGAGCTTTATATTCATTCAACATGATCTTCTAGGCCTCATGCTATCTCTCCAACTTAATTTCCTACCATTCTTCTCTCATTCACCATATTCCAGGCATACTGGGCTTCTCTCCATTCTTTGAACATGGAATATGCCAAACTCATCCCTGCCTCACAGACTTAATACTGTTTCAGGCTGGAACACTCTTTTCCTGTAAGCCTTGTGGCTGACACTTCTTCATGATGATCTTTTTTTTTTTTTTTTTTAATTTTCAGAGTCGAGGTCTCTCTCTATTGCCTACGCTGGAGTGCAGTGGCACAATCACGGCTCACTGCAGCTTCAAACTTCTAGGCTCAAGGGATTCTCCCACCTCAGCCTCCTGAGTAGCTAGGACTACAGGCATGTGCCACCATGCCCAACTACGTTTTGGGGTTTTTTTAATTATTATTTTTGTAGAGATGTGGCTCTCCCTGTGTTGCCCAGGACAGTCTCAAACTTCTGGCCTGAAGCAGTCCTCTTGCCTCAGCCTCTCGAGTTGCTGGGATTATAGGTGTGAGCTACCACAACTGGCCCTGTGATGGGCTTTACTAACTCTCCTGCCCCGTCATTCTCTACCACGTACTCTGCTTGTTTTCATAGCATTTCTAATTCTCTGTCATTATCTTGCTTATTTTTTACTTTATACCCTGTCTTATTTGTTGGTGTGGCCCCCAGCACTAAGTGCAGTATTGGCACAAAGCAGGTACTATAAATGTATGTGTGTGGACTATGTGAATGTGCTCTCTAAGGCCAGAGAGTGCATTCCAACAGAGAGGTACATTTATTTAGCAGATACTTGCCTACCCCTGCTGTGGTTTTAGGAGTCTGATTGTGAATATGCTTGAAACCTCATCTCTTGAACAAAACAAAATCCACAATCTCCAGGTGAGGAAGTGATGACTGAACTCTGACCTCTGGGTATTACCTTCTCCATGTGGGTTTCTGATTCTGAGAAGCCTCTGACCCTCTTTTTTTTTTTCTTTTTTCTTCTTCTGTACGTGTGTGTGTGTGTGTGTGAGACCGAGTTTCGCTGTTGCCCAGGCTGGAGTGCGATGGCACAATCTCGGCTTACTACAGCCACCACCTCCAAGGTTCAAGTGATTCTCCTGCCTCAGTCTCCCAAGTAGTAGGGATTACAGGCATGCGTCACCACACCCGGCTAATTTTGTATTTTTAGTAGAGATAGGGTTTTACCATGTTTGCCAGGCTGGCCTCGAGCTCCTAATCTCAGATGATCCACCCACCTTGGCCTCCCAAAGTGCTGGGATTACAGGCATTAGCCATCGTGCCCGGCCGCCTCTGACCCTCTTTTAAAAGCCCTGGGCCAATTCTGTTTATAGAGTCACTTCTCTTGGTTTTTCAGAGCATAGCTAAGGCAGGCAAGGTCTTTGACAAAAATTTACCATTGTAAGAGAAAAATGCAGATTCAAAAAGAGATCATTAGGGACGGAAATACAGCCCTTCTGCCTAAAAGGGCTGACATAGATAAGCTTTAGATTTTGTGGATTAGGGAGAGGCATCTTAAAAGCTCCCCACCAGGAACCTCTGCCAGGGCCCAGTCGACCTTTTTTTTTTTTTTTTTCTTTTTTTTGGAGAACGAGTCTGTGCCTCTTACCACCCAGCGCTGGAGTGAGTGGCCGGATCCTCAGCTCACTGCAACTCTGCGCGCCTCCGGGTTCACGCCATTCTCCGCCTCAGGTCCTCGCCGAGTAGCTGGGTACTACACGGCGCCGCCACCTCGCGCCGCTAGTTTGTCTGTATTTTTTAGTAGAGACGGGGGTTTCACCGTGTTTTAGCCAGGATGGTCTCTGAATCTCCTTGACCTCAGTGAATCCCGCCCGTCTCGGCCTCCCCAACTGCTGGGATTACCAGGGCTTGAGCCACCGCCCGCCCGGCCTCCTTTTTTTTTTTTAAGACAGGGCGTGCCTCTGTTATCAGGCTTGGAGTACAAGTGGCGACTAACATGGCTTGCCGTAGCCTGACCTCCTGAGCTCCAAGCATCCTTCTGTCTTCTGCTCTAGGCTCTCGCCTCCATGAAGCGGGACCACAGGCATGTTGCCACCCCCCAGTAGTTTTGTTGTTTTGTTTGCGTTTGTTTGTTTCTATGGTATGAGACAGAGTCTCACACTCTGCGCCAGCTGCGTTTCAAGCGTCCTGGGCTCAATCCATCCTCCCACCTTCAGCCTCCCAAAATGCTGGGCGATTACAGGGTTGAGCCACTTGCTGCCTGGTCTTGACGACACTTTTTGGCTGTGAGACCAGCGAGATTAAAAATGTCGGTCTTGCCCTCCTCTCCCTAGTTTTAGACCTTTGCCTCTGCCTGCACATTGCCCTAAGTGCCATGATAGTAATTTCTATGCTTTGCCAGGCGCAGCTGTCCTCACGCCGTAATCCCAGCCACTTTGGCAAGGCCGTTTAAGGCGGGCGGATCATAACCGGTCAGGAGATCGAGACCATCCTGCGCGTAACACGCGGGCGAAACCCTGTCTTGCTTACTAAAAATACCAAAAAAATGTAGTGGGGTTCGGTGGCGGGCGCCTGTTAATCCCAGCTCTACTCGGTGAACTTGAGGCAGGGGGAGAATGCTTGATGACGCAGGAGGCGAGCGTGTGTGCAGTCAGCTGAGAATGCGTCCACTGCCACTCCAGCTTGGGCCGGACAGGTGTTGAGACTCCGGCTGCGCAAAAAAAAAAAACCGGCCACGGGCTCACGCCTGAATCGCCAGCCACTGTTGCGGAGGCCGAATGGGAGGCATCACGAGTCCAGGAGATCAAGCACCATCCTGGCTAACACGGTGAAACCCCCCGCTCTTACTAAAAATTTACAAAAAATTAGGCGGGTTGCGTGGCGGCACCTGTAGTTCCCAGCTACACAGGGCTGAGCAGAAGAATGCGTGAACGGTCGGGACGAGCTTGCCATGGCCAAATTGCGCACTGCGCACTCAGCCTGGCCGACAGGAGCAAGACTCCATCTCAAAAAAAAAAAAAAAAAAAATGCCCAACTTCATGCCGTTGGAGCAGAGAATCTTTTACCTTCCTTAAAACAGGTAGACTGTTCTCCAGGGCCATGTTTCATACAGTATGGCACTTATTGTGAATATATTATGGATTTTGATTTTTATTATATTAGAGATGGGTCTAGCTCTGGTCACCCAAGTTGCGAGTTAGTGGCACGACCGTCGGGCTCACTACAAACCTCTGCCTCCAGGATCGGACAATTCTCCTGCCTCAGCCTCCTGAGTAGCTGGGATTATAGGCCCGCCTGCCACCACGCCTGGGCTAATTTTTTGTATTTTTAGTAGAGACAGGGTTTCACCATGTTGGCCAGGCTGGTCTCAAACTCCTGACCTCAGGTGATCTGCCCACCTTGGCCTCCCAAAGCGCTAGGATTACAGGCGTGAGCCACCACGCCCTGCTCTGTTACGTGATTTTAAATGTTTCAAAGTCAGATCGAGAACAATGAGAAAAGTATTCCCTTTTCGAGTCTTTCAGTCCTCCTGATTCTATCTGGGAAGAAGTTTCAGTTGGGTACTACCTTATCTTAAAACCTCTCAGCACAGTTGCTGTTCTCTTCTTCCTGGGGAATGCTCCAAGCCTCATTTTTATCATATTTATTTTTATTGGTATCTACTTAAGTTTATGATCTAAAGATTCCTTTTTAAAAGAAGTTCCTAAGTAAAGAAAGCTGGCATACATAAAATTATAAAATAAGTAATAGTGTAGGTGGCGTGAGAACACAGCATGAGTCACAGCGGCAGTAGGAAAGGCTGGCTGAGGTCTGCCAGTGTCCTAGTATGGCATCCCATCATTCAGTGCCTGTGTTTGAGGCAGAGTTGAAAGACAGTGCTGTTGAGGTGGTGTTTGTCAACTCAGTGATTTCTTGTTTTCCCCTCTGTAGTGGAGCACATGATCCAGAAGAACCAATGTCTCTTCACCAACACCCAGTGTAAGGTTTGCTGCGCCTTGCTTATTTCTGAGTCCCAGAAGCTGGCACATTACCAGGTATGCCGTCATACTTTTAGAGCTGCGTTTCTTTTCAGACCTGATGCCAAACCCCTAATTCTCCCTGGCTTGCATGGTGAAGTGTAATTGCTGCTTAGCCACCCAGATGTTGCCTCCATGCATGTTGGCTTGTGACTTGAAGATTGACTTAATTTCCCTGAGTCTCATCTCCCCTATCTAAATCAGGATCATTATATGTGTGTCTTCCCTTGCAGCTTGGCATAGCATAAAGTATGAGCTTTGGTATTAAATAGATCTGAGTTTGAATCAAAACTCTGCTACTCATCTTGAGCAAGAAACTTCATCATTTCTAGACATCGTTTCCTCATCCATAAAATAGAAATGGTCATAATTTTCTCATAGATTGTGAAGATTAGATTTGATAGCTGTAAAATGCCTTGCACAGAGCAGGAACTCAAACTTCCCTCACCTCCTCCTCAAAACTTTTTGTGAGGATGAATCAGATGAAAATCTAGTAAGTGTTTTTGAGTGCCTTAAGTATGAAGTAGCATTTGGCTATCTTTGATCTTTTCCCTGGGTTTTTGCAGAGCAAAAAACATGCCAACAAAGTGAAGAGATACCTAGCAATCCATGGAATGGAGACATTAAAGGGGGAAACGAAGAAGCTAGACTCAGATCAGGTAATACAACTGCCATATTGAGCCCGCTTGCTTCCTGATGACGCCAGCCAGCAGGTTGGTGTGGTGAGCAAGTCAGACTGTCTTGGCTTCAAATCCTGGCCCTGTTGTGTGACTTGGGCAAGTCTGTTACTTCACAAAGCCTTGGTTTCTTCCTGTATAAAAATGAGGATGGTAATACCAACTACCTTTCAGGATTTTTCGAAACTAAAATTGAGGGCAGGTTTATAAAAAGCACCCAATTCAGAGCCTGGCACATAGTAGGGACTCAGTAATGGAGCCGATATTACATATTACCACCTAGTGGTTTATTGGAGCCAGACAAGAGAAAGTGGAAAGAAGCCAGGCTGCTTGCTTTCTCGAGAGCCAGGGAAAAGAACTAAGTTCAGCACTTGAATGTTTTGAATAAATAAGCAGAAGTAACTCCTTTCCAAATGCCTGCTCTGATTTAGAGGTGATCACATGTGCTTTTTGGCTCAGAAATATTATGAGCATTATGCTGAAGCAACCCCCAACCCCTCAGGAGTACCATCTCGTCATGGGAAAAGAAATTGAGCAGACTAGGGCTCAAAGCTGGCTGTGTGTCTTACTGGTCGGGTGACCTGGCCAAGTCACTTAACCTCTGCGAACTTCACCCATAAAGTAAAGATAATTCCTACTTCTTAAGGTATTGTGAGGTAAAATTTTCAATTCCCGGTAGATGCTCAAAAATAAGAGTTTATTCTATAAACTGCTACCTCCTATTATAGTAGCCACAGGTTAGGAAGGTCCTTGTTTATCTCTTCTCAAAATTCACTGGACTCATCCCCTGGTTTCCCTTCTTATTTATTTATTTATCCCTGGATTCCCTCCTTTCTATCTATTTCTTTATCTGTCTCTTTATGAGACAGGACCTGGCTCTGTCACCCAGGCTGGAGTGCAGTGGTGCAATCATGGCTCACTGCAGCCTCAACCTCCCAAGCTCAAGTGATCTTTCCATTTCAGCCTCCCAAGTAGCTAGGACTGCAGGCACACACCACCATGCCTGGCTAACTGGAGTGCAGTGGCACGATCTCAGCTCACTGCAACCTCCACCTCCTTGGTTCAAGCGATTCTCCTGTCTCAGCCTCCCAAGTAGCTGGGACTACAGGCATGCGCCACCACGCCTAGCTAATTTTTGTATTTTTAGTAGAGATGGGGTTTCACCAGGTTGGCCAGGCTGGTCTCAAATCCCTGACCTCAAGTGATCTGCCTGCCTCAACCTCCAAAAGTGCTGGGATTACAAGTGTGAGCCACTGCGCCCAGACACTTGGCTGAGTTTTTTAAAATTTTTTCATAGAGACAGGGTTTCGCTTTGTTGCCCAAGCTGGTCTCAAATTCCTGGTCTCAAGCGATCTTCCTGCCTCAGGCTCCCAAAGTACCAGGATTACAGGTCTGAACCACTACACCTGGCCCTTTTCTTATAATTTATAATTCAGAAAGGCAAGATCAACTCTATGACCCTGGGCAACTTATTTTACATCTTTGCACCCTATTCAGAGATCAGACTTTCTGAGAGAGATGTTGGGATCCCTTTATGTAGTCTTGAAATACGTGGTTTTCTAGCCTAATCATAATCAGCAACTAGAATGCAGTGGGAGGCTGGGTGCAGTGGCTCATGCCTGTAATCCTAGGAATTTAGGTGGCTGAGGCGGGCAGATTGCTTGAACTCAGGAGTTTGAGGCCACCCTAGGCAACATGGTAAAACCCCATTTCTACAAAAAATACAAAAATTAGCCAGGTGTGGTGGTGTGTTCCTGTAGTCCAGCTACTTGATGGGGTGAGGTGGGAGAATTGCTTGAGCCCTGGAGGTGGAGGTTCCAGTGAGCCGAGATCGTGCCATTGCACTCCAGTCTGGGCAATAGAGTGAGACCCTGTCTCAAAAAAAAAAAACCACAACCTAATGGTCCACTTGTTCAGCAAACTCTGAGCATCTACTGTGTGCCAGACTCCAGCAGGGTGTGAAGGATAGGAAACAAAAATGAGTCAAATAGTCCCTGTTCCAGTGTTACACTTGAGTTCACAGAAAAGTCTCCTAAGCTATGACACACTGTCAGTTTAGGGTGGCAAGTGGTAGGACAGAGGTCTATTTCATGTACTCTCGGAGTACAGAAGAGGAGCAGGGTTAATTATTCTTCCTGGAATACACAGACAAAGGGACTTGATAGTTGTTTACTGAATGATTTTTTTTTTTTTTTTTGAGAGAAAGTCCCCCAGAAGAAAAGCTTTTATTTAAATTGGGTCTTCAAGGCTAAGCAGACACGCTGCCAAGCAGGAAAGGAAGGAAGAGCATTTTAGACAGCAGGAATGGCCAAAGCAAAGCAAGGAAGCATCAGAGAATAAAGTGGGGGATGGTGAGTAGAGCCTGGGACGAAGTAGCTGGAGAAGAATCTAGAAAGTAGGTTGGGGTTAATGTGTGAGGGGGGCCGTAAATGCCTATTCTATTATGGGCAGTGGGGAACCATTGAAGGTTTTCTGGCGGGGCAGTGGTATGATCAGACCTGTGTTCTTTCTTCCAACCAGAAGAGCAGCAGAAGCAAAGACAAGAACCAGTGCTGCCCCATCTGTAACATGACCTTTTCCTCCCCTGTCGTGGCCCAGTCGCACTACCTGGGGAAGACCCACGCAAAGAACTTAAAGCTGAAGCAGCAATCCACTAAGGTGGAAGGTACTGGTTTTCCTGAGTAGTGCTGTAGTGGGACCCCTCCTGTCCTCAGGGCACCATTGCCAGGGACTCACAGAGATCCTCACTGGGGCCACAGACTTGAGGTTGAATTCCTTTTGAGGACCCTTAAAAATCTCCAAGTAGACCCAGTTTCATTGAAATGCAATCTCAGAATTATGCTCACCTAACCTCCCTTTCTTTGGTTATAGATTTTTCTCTATAGCCTGAGCTTTTGTCCTGACTAATAATTATAATTCAGGAGTGCCAAAGTCCTCCAGGCCGTGCATACCATGAGAGCATTCTATCTCCTACCTCTCTCCCTTAGATTTTTCCATCCCAGCATCCACCTGCCCTTATTACTGCATGTTCCAAGTTGAAAGCTAAATCCTTGTCTTTTTCACATGCTCAGGTTATGGCCTACTCACTTTAATCCTCAAAAGCTGCCTGTTCTCCTCAAGACAGGGACTTGTCTTTCAAAGCTGAATACTTCAGTGCTGCTACTGCTGCCCCGCAATCTGTAACTGCCATGAATTCATTCCCAGTACAGTGACTTCTGAAATAGCCCCCTTTATCTTGTCATGACTAAGGCTCAGCCCTCACTTTCATCTCATTAACTCCTGACTTTCTGGGGTTTTAACCTCTGCTAATTGCAATTAGTCAAGAGTGAAAGTTCTTTGATGTTTATTTCATTGTTTCCTTGATAATTTTTGCTTCTCTATTTTGGACCAAGAAGTAGACTACACTATTAGTAATAGTATTATCCTTTATGTGTTTACTGACAACAGTGTTTTGGAAGGCTTTGAAGATAGTGTGAAAAATCACTCATAATTTTTTTTTTTTTTTTGAGACAGAGTCTCGCTCTGTTGCCCAGGTTGAAGTGCAGTGGCGTGATCTCGGCTCATTGCCCAGGTTCGTGCCATTCTCCTGCCTCAGCCTTCCTGGTAGCTGGGACTACAGGCACCCACCACTATGCCCGGCTAATTTTTTTGTATTTTTTAGTAGAAACGGGGTTTCACCATGTTAGCCAGGATGGTCTCAATCTCCTGACCTCGTGATCCACCTGCCTCGGCCTCCCAAAATGTTAGGATTATAGGCGTAAGCCACCACACTGGCCAAAACCTTTTTTTTTTTTTTTTTTAAATAGAGATGGCTTCTCACTATATTGCTCAGGCTGGGCTTGAACTCCTGGCCTTAAGTGATCCTCCCATCTCGGCCTCCCAGAATGCTGGGATTACAGGCATGAGCCACCACACCTGGCCACTCATAATTACACCTTTTGATCACACCCACGTCATGGTATGAAACAGCAGAATGTGGACTTTGAAGTCACAGAGTCCCAGGTTTAAAAGCCTGGCACTGTTACTGTTTATATGACTTTTTTGTGTCTGAACTGCCTAACCTATACAATGATAATAATACTATCTACTTCATCGGTTGTGAGGATACAATAATGTGTATTAAAAACACAGGACATAGGCCGGGCGTGGTGGCTCATGCCTGTTGTAATCCTAGCACTTTGGGAGGCCAAGGTGGGTGGATCACTTGAGGTTCGAGACCAGCGTGGTCAACATGGTGAAACCCTGTCTCTACTAAAAATAACAAAAATTAGCTGGGCGTGGTGGCACGAGCCTGTAGTCCCAGCTTCTTGGGAGGCTGAGGCAGGAGAATCACTTGAACCCAGGAGCCGGAGGTTGCAGTGAGTCGAGATCGCGCCATTGTACACCAGCCTGGGGGACAGAGCAAGACCCTGTCTCAAAAAAAAAAAAAAAGAAAAAAAAAATTTATAAGGTCACAGACTTATTTTTCCACAAATGGGAAAATTCTCTGCATTATGCCTGGTCCCTGAAATTTCATACTCAAGAGATTATTTTCCATATTCATGTTCAGCTTTTGCCACATACTTTGTTTTTATATAGTTGTGATTGTAATGCATGTACCCTTTATATCCTGCTCTTACTTTTCATTTAATTTTACAGCTTACGCACATTTCCATGTTATTACACAACTTTATAACTATATTTCTGAGATTAAACACTTTTTAATGTAAAAGTAATATAAGCATGTCGTGAGAGATAAGGAAAACATGGATAAATGGAAAGAAAAGTTACCCGTAATTTTACCATTCACAGATAAACACTGTTAACATTTTGGTTTCTCCTATAATCTGTTTCTCCTATAATCTTATTGTTATGTGTATCTGTGTATATCTGTGTGTATATTTGTTTTATGTATATCTAGGTTAGCTCCGTGTATATGTGCATATAAACATAGACTACTTTAAATAACTTTAATGTTTTTATAAAAACAATGCATACTCATTATGAATAATTCCACTTCAAGCAATTGCAAAAGATACAAAGAAGAAACTAAAATGTCACCCAAATCCTACCACCAAGAGAGAAATACTGTTAATATGTTGGTGATGTTTCAAAATACCAGTATACACATATGGATTACACATGTGGGGTTTTTTAATTTTTTTTTTTAATTTATTTTTATTTATTTATTTATTTATTTTGAGATGGTGTCTCACTCTGTCACCCAGGCTACAGTGCAGTGGCACGATCTCGGCTTAGTGCAACCTCTGCCTCCTGGGTTCAAGCGATTCTGCCTCAGCCTCCCAAGTAGCTGGGACTACAGGCGCATGCCACCACGCCTGGCCAATGTTTGTATTTTTAGTAGAGACGGGGTTTCACTGTGTTGCTCAGGCTACTCTTGAACTCCTGGCCTCAAACAATGATCTTACCGTATGGTGTGTATAATTGCCTTCTTTTATGTTTTTTGTGTTTTTTTTGAGATGGAGTCTCCCTCTTCTACCCAGGCTGGAGTGAAGTGGCGTGATCTCAGCTCACTGCAACCTCTGCCCCCCGGTTTCAAGCGATTCTCCTGCCTCAGCCTCCCGAGTAGCTGGGATTACAGGTGCTCACCACCATGCCCGGCTAATGTTGTTTTTGTGTTTTTTTTGAGATGGAGTCTTGCTGTCGCCCAGGCTGGAGTGCAGTGGTGCAACCTTGACTCACTGCAGCCTCCACCCTCTGGGTTCAAGCAATTCTCTTGACTCAGCCTCCTGAGTAGCTGGGACTACAGGCGCCCACCACAACGCCTGGCTAATTTTTGCATTTTTAATGGAGACGGGGTTTCCCCATATTGGGCAGGCTGGTCTTGAACTCCTGACCTCAGGTGATCCACCCACCTCGGCCTCCCAAAGTGCTGGGATTACAGATGTGAGCCACCATGCCCGGCCAGTTTTGTATTTTTAGTAGAGATGGAATTTCACCATGTTGGTCAGGCTGGTCTCAAACTCCTGATCTCAGGTAATCCACCCGCCTCAGCCTCCCAAAGTCCTGGGATTACAGGCATGAGCCACCATGCCCTGCCTAATTTTTGTATTAGTAGCGATGGGGTTTCATCATGTTGGCCAGCCAGATCTCTAACTCCTGATCTCAGGTGATTCACCTGCCTCTGCCTCCCAAAGTGCTAGGATTACAGGTGTGAGCTACTGCACCTGGCCATACAATTGCCTTCTATACGTTTTTTATTTAATATGACATTTGTATTTCCCCATGTTATTAAAAAATTCTTTATAAGCATTTTTAGTGAGTGCATCATACCACATTTAACATTCCTCTAATGCTGAACATTTAATCTCCCCACCCCCCACTTTTTAGTGTTACAAATAACACTACAGTGAACATCTCTGTAGAACACTTTATTATATTTCAGTTTATTTTCTGGGAACAGACTCTATATCCCTCATTTTATTGGATGCACATTAAATGGTTCTTCTAAACTTAACTTACGCTTTCACCTCTGATGCTTCTCTTCAGTATCTCAAAGAATGACCGTTCTCTCTTACAACCATTATATATCTCTTTTCTGATGTTAAAAATCTACATTCATTACAGAAAAGTTGGAAGATAGTAGGCCGGGTGCAGTGGCTCACGCCTGTAATTCCAGCACTTTGGGAGGCTGAGACGGGTGGATCACCTGAGGTCAGGAGTTTTGAGACCAGCCTGACCAATGTGGAGAAACCCCGTCTCTACTAAAAATACAAAATTAGCTGGTCATGGTGGCGCATGCCTGTAATCCCAGCTACTTGGGAGGCTGAGGCAGGAGAATCGCTTGAACCTCGGAGGCAGTGGTTGCAGTGAGCCAAGATCAGCCAGGCTGGTCTCAGAACTCCTGAGTCAGATCATCTGCCTGCCTCAGCCTCCCAAAGTGCTGGGATTACAGGCACGAGCCATTGCGCCTGGCCTGTAACTTGATTTTTTTACACTCTAACACCACAAACAGAATATTTTCTCATATTATAAGATATTCTACAACATGTACATTACTTTTTTAATGACTTGCTGAAACAAAATCAACAAGCAGAGAAATTGAGATTCCATCTCTACTGGAAAACCATTGTGGGAAACGCCAGAAAATTTCTGGCTTGCCCAAAATCCTCAAAACTTCCCCAGTTGAAGTGATAAAGGTATGGAAGAGCATCTGAGACATCTCATCTCAGTCCTGCTGAGCCCCATCCGTCCTCCACCACTGGTGGGGGCTTCTGGGCCCCACATTTTTAAAGCAGTAGTTGCTAGGTTGACACCATTTCAGCCACATGGACTTGTTAGTGAGTTGTGGCATCCACTTTATGAGGCAGCAGCACAGCCTGCAGTCAACATCTAGCCATATGTTGATGCACAAGAGGCTCACAGGTATGCCTACACCAGGTTCTGATTAACTGAATTCATTGGCCAGAATGAGGGATATTTTCTGAAGGTGAAAGTAAGAGCTATAGCCTTCAGGTCTTCTTGCCACACTCTGGCAGCCTGGCGTAGCAAAGAGAACATAGGCTTTAGGGTCACAGACCTGGCTTCACTCACTAGCTGGGTCACCTTGGGCAAGCCACTTCACTCGTCTGAGCCTCAGTTTTTCTGAATAATGTGGCAAAGTGATACCTACCTCATTGGGGTAGTTCTGAGGACCAAAGGAGAAAATACATATACAGGCTGGAGTACAATGGCACGATCTCGGCTCGCTGCAACCTCCGCCTCCCAGGTTGAAGTGATTCTCCTACCTCAGCCTCCCGAGTAGCTGGGATTACAGGCACATGCCACCATGCCCAGCTAATTTTTGTATTTTTTGGAGAGATGGGGTTTCACCATGTTGGCCAGGATGGTCTCAATCTCTTGACCTCGTGATCCGCCCGCCTTGGCCTCCCAAAGCCCTGGAATTACAGGCATGAGCAAAACACATAACTAAATGTTAATGGTCCTCTTTTCTCTCTGCTCAGCCTATTAATATGCAATGTAGCCTAAAAGGCATCCCTAGTATGGTTACCTTTTCTAAATGACCCTGTATGAGCTCCAGGAACTCAAGCCTCAATTTCTGTATTTGTGCATTGGTTCCCAGCTCTGCAACTGTATTACTTCAAGGATGAGAATAAAACTCCCAAACTTTGTGTCCCACTTGCTGTGAAGTTCTGGGAAATGCTGAGGTATCCCTGCAAGAGTGCAAGTATGCATCTTTAGTCTATTGTAATTTGACAACTTGATAGCAGAAGTTTAGAGCCTCCTAAGAATATGAGAAAAATCAGGATTTGTGGGCTTACAGTAGTTAAAGTTGCTGAATGAAATAGCCAGTCTTTGGGCTCCCTCAAATCTTCGCAGGTTTCCCAATTAGAGAATGCATTCACGTGTGTGATTCACACAGGCAGTGCCACATCTGCAAGTGGGATTAACTGGTGTCACAGCCCTTTCTATTCAGCATACTCAAAAGCCTGGCACCTTCTGGGTTTTTTCATTGTTTCTGTTTGAACTCTCTCACCGCAGCTCTGTCGAAACACCTTACAAATCCTTTCCTTGTGGCCTCCACCTTAGCCTTGCACCAGAATAGAGAGATGATAGACCCAGACAAGTTCTGCAGCCTCTGCCATGCAACTTTCAACGACCCTGTCATGGCTCAACAACATTATGTGGGCAAGAAACACAGAAAACAGGAGACCAAGCTCAAACTAATGGCACGCTATGGGCGGCTGGCGGACCCTGCTGTCACTGACTTTCCAGGTGAGGGGGCCTAGCTCACACCCAGAGCTGGACCAGGGCTTAGCCACTGGGGCTCCCTGGACCAGCCGACGTTGTGCTTTTCCTCCTTAGGTCTTGTAAGTAGGGTTTGCAAACTCAGATACCTACAGAAGCCAGATGAGAAATTAAAATGAGAGCCAGGAAGGAGATATGGTCGGCTGAAGAGTAAATGCCACTCCTACTCAGCTGTTACCATATCTTTCAGGTTTTCTTTCTTTTTTTTTTTTTTTTTTGAGACGGAGTCTCGCTCTGTCGCCCAGGCTGGAGTGCAGTGGCCCTCCTGACCTCGTGATCCGCCCGCCTCAGCCTCCCAAAGTGCTGGGATTACAGGCTTGAGCCACTGCGCCCGGCCTTTTTTTTTTCTTTTTTGAGACGGAGTCTTGCTCTGTCACCCAGGCTGGAGTGCTGGAGTGCAGTAGCACGATCTCAGCCCACTGCAAGCTCCGCCTCCCAGGTTCACGCCATTCTCCTCCCTCAGCCTCCCAAGTTGCTGGGACTACAGGCGCCTGCCACCTCGCCCAGCTAATTTTTTTGTATTTTTAGTAGAGACAGGGGTTTCACCGTGTTAGCCAGGATAGTCTCGATCTCCTGACCTCGTGATCCGCCCGCCTCAGCCTCCCAAAGTGCTGGGATTACAGGCATGAGCCACTGTGCCCGTCCCTCTTTCAGGTTTTCCAAAGACTCTGGAAAGCCAGATTTATATAGAAATCCGTCTGTTTTTATTTTTGTTTTTGTTTTTGTTTTTGAGACGGGAGTCTCAAGCCACCGCGTCCGTCCTTTTTTTTTTTTTTTTAAGAGGGTCTCTTGCCGGGTGCAGTGGCTCACGCCTGTAATCGCAATACTTCGGGAGGCTAAGGCGGGTGGATCATGAGGTCAAGAGAGCGAGACCATCCTGGCTGATATGGTGAAACCCCATCTCTAGGCCGGGCGCGGTGGCTCAAGCCTGTAATCCCAGCACTTTGGGAGGCCGAGAGATGGACACCACTGCCAATTCCAACGACTGGACGACAGAGCGAGACTCCATCTCTCAAAAAAAAATAAAAAAAAGTCGGTAAAAAGTCAGCGAAACAGGTGCTGGAGAGGCATGGAGAAGCATTAGGAAACTTATTACACTGATTGAGTGGGACTGTAAACTAGTTAACATTTGTGGGAAGACAGCGTGGCGATTCCTCAAGGGATCTAGGAACAGAAATTACCATTTGAACCCAGCATCCCATTACTGGGCATTATACCCAAGGGATTTATAAATATGCTGTATAAAGACACATGCACCTGTATGATTTATTGCGGACTATCACAATAGCAAAGACTTGGAACCAACCCAATGTCCATCAATGATAGACTGGATTAAGAAAATGTGGCACATATACACCATGGAATACTATGCAGCATAAAAAAGGATGGTTCATGTCCTTTGTAGGGACATGGATGAAGCTGGAAACCATCATTCTGAGCAGACTATTGCAAGGACAGAAAACCAGACCGCATGTTCTCACTTATAGGTGGAATTGAACAATGAAAACACTTGGACACAGGGTGGGGTACATCACACACTGGGACCTGTTGTGGGGTGGGGGAGGGGGAGGGGATAGCATTAGGAGATATACCTAATGTAAATGACGAGTTAATGAGTGCAGAACCCAACATGGCACATGTATCATATGTAACAACCTGCACGTTGTGCACATGTACCCTAGAACTTAAAGTATAATAATAATAAAAAATTATACTGAATGGAATATTATTTTATGTAGTTATTTCAAGTCTTAATACATAGAGGAACGTATTATAGAAAGACCTCTGTCTGTGGCTGGGGTGTGGTGGGCTCACGCCTGTAATCTCAGCACTTTGGGAGGCGAGGCGGGTGGATCACCTGAGGTCAGGAGTTAGAGACCAGCCTGGCCAACCTGAGTGAAAC